AAATCAGTATCAGTATTTCAACCTTATTACTTGCACAGACGGCCCTTTTAGTGCAACTCATTTGTTTTATCTTTTCAATAGCTTTGATTATTTTCTTTTAATGGCCTGGATTTATCCTTTCTACTCTTTTGAAACTTCAGAACTCTGTGGTGGGGGCTGCATGTGGTGGAAGACATGATTATGAGGGGAAAATGAGCAAATAGCTTTGCCTTTACTCACCATCTATCTCCCTACTTTTGTGGCCACCTATTCTGTGTGGATCACCCCTGTGCCCTGAGTTAGTACAAAAGTGGCCTCAAAGAGCCTTCCCATGTTGGTGCTAGATTATTTTTGTTGTTATTTAACAGCTATTGAGGCCAGTTGCAATTCCTGGATTGTTTTTTTACTGTGTGCCACATATTCCACTTCCTAGCCCCCAGGAACCAGGAACTGCATAGGTTACCCTTCTTTAATTAAAGAGAAGTTAAGACCAAGAGGCTAAACTGCCAGCCCAGGGCAAGTTAACAGCCTCTGGGAAAGAATAGAGTTGCTTCTAAAGGCAGGGAGCTCGTAAACAGGAAGGTGTGGATGCTATTACCTGGCAGAGAAAACAGAGCACTGAAATGTGCTCAGGGTTTTCTATTTGGGTGGTATCCTGGACAAGGAAACCAATAAGATCCTCAGCTGCTCCACTAATCAGAATAAACAAGACTGTTAGTACTAGACACCATGTCTCTGGGTTACCAAGCACAGAGGTCTGGGCGTCAGGCCTCAGTTAAGCTTCCATCTTGCTCCAGGACCCCTTGCATATCCAAGTAGGAACACAATTCTAAGACGATGGAACAAGCATATTGGGGGAAAGTGTGGCTTAATGCAGTTTCTAAGTTGTTTTTAGCAGGCCCAAGGTTTCCATCTTGACTTTTTCCATGCTGGAGAAAATGCAAAGCCAGTATTTTAAAAATAAACAAATGAGTATCTATGCTGAAACGAGGGAAAGATTAGTCCAGTGCAAGCATGGTCATTAGAAAGTGTAACTGTCAGCCAAGCCCATCTGGGACAGATGCTTCCACACCTAAAATTGGGTTCTAGTTGATAAGATACAAGACAGCCCACTATCATCTCCTTAATGGGTTGTCAGCCTAAAGATGAGGTGAGTTTCTCAAATTTCACATAGTCTCTTTATTATTAAGAAGAGCATTACATCCAATTCCTTGGTTATTTGCCAAACTGAAAGTATTCTCTTCGTTGAAGTAGTTTTGCTCCTTCCTGTCTAATCAAGGTACCATTTCTTGCTTTTAAAGTAAACGCAGGACCTCTGTCAGACTGACTCTGTCTAGCAATAGCACGTTACTTATAAACAAAAACTCCCAGAGAAACGGGGGTAGAGGAAGGGGAGAAAAAATATCATGCACAAATAACCCAGTTTCTTCCAAGAACATGTGCCACCATTTCTTACCCAGTCTCTGTAGAGCTTTAAAAAAACATACTGGCTTTAGGACATAGAAAATGGTGCTCAGACACACTAGGGACTCAAAGTTGAGTGGGACATGGACTGTGTCCTCAGCTGGTCTGATCTCTCCATTCATTCATTCTTAGGACCAGCATCACTTCTTGAGAAAGGCTAGGGGCTCATTTTTTCTGTATGCAAAGCAAAACCAAACTTTGGTCAAATGACTCTTAACAAATCAGTACGACTATATACATTGTAAAGAAAATGGAGCCACAATAGATTAGATATGAATTTAAGTAAAACACCTATTTCTGTCCATCTGTACTTACATTTCAACATGGGTTTTAGAGATGAGAAATACATCTTACGAATGCCTTGAAGTTCACATAATAGCATCTACACACATACACAGTGTATTTTTCAACATAACTACACATAAACACTCCATTTAAAAAGATACTGACAGATTTATAAAACGTATTGGCCTTGCACTGTTAATCTCAAGAATACATTTTTACCTAATTTATTTTTGCATTGCATGGAAGCTCTGGCCACCGTTAAGGATCTGTCAGCATTTCCATCATAACTCTCTTTTCAGAATACTGGAGTATAAGTGCCAAAATACATATTTACAGTTTACAGACAGTGGTGGCTTTGTCTTCCTTTTAAATTGACTTCTTCGATGCATCTTTACAAGGAATAGTCAGTGATGGCAGTGCCTACATGGTAAAAAAAGCATCGTATAAAACAAAAGAGGTCAAAAGCTGTAGACTTCCAGCCTAAGACTAAACTTAACCATGGGAATCGACTCCTCTGCATTCATAGCAGCTGTAGTAGACTTCAGCTGTAGTAGACTTCACATCATAGTCTTAGTTTTAGAGCAACAGTCCAAAGCAAGATTATAACATGCATGTGTATGCAGTTCATAGCATTAGCACACAAAACACTAAGGTGGAAAAAGCATACGGCAAACTACTCCAGAGCTGATCACATCCACAGTGAGAAAGGAACACAAGCACCAAACACAAACACTGACCAATTCCAACACTGAATACCCAACTCCATTATCTAGGCAGAGTTAAAACATTTAAGAATAAAGTCTCTCTTAAACAAGTATGCTAACTCGTTAACATGTATGGGGCTTGAAATGGTATGTAGGATGTTATACAGGCCTGGTCTGTCTTTTATAAAGATTAGCTGGGTATCAGTAGAAACATTTTTGGTGGGACAATCTTTTTGGTGGAAGAAAACTAAATTTATTGGCTCTTTTCATGTAAAGGTGGGTAATTATTGAGATTAGAGAGATTAGTTTAGCAATTTAAATATGTTTAGGACACTGTCTTATGATTTTTTTTCCTTCTACAGTTTTTGTCTCCTGGTCTTAAGTTTTTATGTTCTTCTCTACTTTTGATACAATATACAAGTAAGTATATACAGACATATCTATTTGCCTACATAAAGAGAGAGGTGGATTACGGTGAAGAAACAAAATAACTGCAAACATTTTGGTTGCTGACATGACTGCTATATGCTAAGATAGAAGCATCTCCTCTCATACACAACCTGCTGCAAAACCAGAGGCAAAAGTTAATTTATAAAAAGGGTGGAGAGTTCGGGACATACATTTTTCCCTCTCAAATTACTGGGGAAAAATTTAAAGAAAGTTTTTATCATACTCTGCCTGGCTCAAATCATATTCACACTCATCCAATTAATTTTATTTGAAACATCTATATATATATAGATGTTTATATGTGTATACACACACACACACACACACACACACACACACACACACACACACAAAGAAATTAAACCCTGCCATTTTTCTTTTGTGCTTAAAAAACCAAAGCCACTGTTAAGATACAAATGTGCTGAAAATATTTTTTAACAGGTTTCAAAGATGAGTGTATATAAACATGGCAGAACTGAGTTACTTTAAGAGAAATAGAACTATCTGAAATTAGAAGGGGATTTATTATTTCTGCACTTAAAAATTAGAAGAGAGCAAGAGTGTAATTTCTAAAAAATCAACAATGTAACTCTTACCCTGGAATGTTGCGGAAAACTCATTTTGCTGTCTCCATGAATAGTAGATAAGTTTTTCCGAATTTTCTTATCAATTAAAGTTACATTTTGACGATATTCTGAAGATATTTGCTTTATTACCTAAATTTTAGGTCTGAATTTTATTAGTGTAATAGCATCCTTTCTTATTAATCTTTTTGTTTGATCATTTCTCATGTTACCTAGTTTCTTGGTTAGTAACCTAAAGAAAAAAAAAAATCTTTACATTGCCAAATCATAGTTTTTGCCACACGATTTAGTTACAAAAATAAAAATAGCCCAAACTACATATATACATTCCTAGTTAAACTACACAGATATTTTAGTTAAACCACATACATTTCTGGCTTAATTAGAATATGTGGATTAGCAGTTAGAAATTTTAAA